ACTTCAAATTTTTAGATGTACTTTGTATTGGGAAATGATGTAACTCTGATCTTTAAAGGCTGGCATACCAAAACAAATGCAGGTATTCAATTTCTTAAGACTGTATTATTTAAAAAAAAAAAAAAAAATCTTTTTTTTTTTTTTTTTTTTTTGCTTTATTTGTGTTTTTATGCGTTTTTGCAATTGTTTTTTTATCATTCTTTAGTAGGATTTTTTAAGAAAAAAGCAAAAACTTTTAAAACATAAATAGGGTGATCAAAAAAATAAAAATCATAATGATGGTAAAGAATGTTTTCTTGAGTTCTTGAGTTCTATTTTAGATAATAACACATTGATATAAAAAAGTCAAAAGCAATACTCTAAAATATTGTTGCAATAGAAACAGCATTATTAAACTTGTATTTTTATTAATTAAATATTATATGTTCAAAAGATTTTTTCATTCCAAAAGATATTAGTGTTGTTGAAGGAAATTAGTAAATAGTTGTTTAATACATCTATTTTGTGTTTTTTGTGTTTAAGAATCAATTATCTTTTTTAAACAAAAGTTTCTTATAAAGCTCATATAAACAAAGTTAAGTTATAATTGTCAATTATGAATCTTTTAAACATTATGTCAAGAGGGTGTTAGCCAGCCCAATGGCACCGTGTATACTGCGGAATTCCCAAAATTCAATGGCTTTTTTTTATTCTAAATAAAAAGACTATAAGAATAAGAAGATTTCAATAAAAATTCCCAATATTTTTTAGAAAATTAACACATATTTCCAATATTGCAAAATGTGGTAAAAAATTTATTCCTGGTTAAAACACTGGTCAATTTTATTCCTGGTTATTTTGTTTTTTAATATTTGTAGATTTTTTTTTTTTTTTCTAAATTTTTTTTAAACCTTTAAAAAAAATTGTATTATATGTTTGTTAAATTTATTATTTATTTTGTGTAGTTAATGTTACTTGTGTATAAGTTGAAAGAAAAAAAGAAAATTTATTCTCTGGAAATTTTTTTAAAAAACAAATAAATAATTTACAATCTAGGACATCTTTTGTTGTCTTTGTAGATACTTAGTAGGAAACATTATATTTTGCCCGAATCAAAGCTAAATTTTACAGCTTATTTGTTTTTGATCAGGTTTTTTTTTATCTTTGTCGCATTGTTTTACCAATTTGAATTTATCAAAATTTCATTTTTGTTCAAGCACACTTTTAATACCCACAATTCCTCAATGGCATTTTATATTTACAATTTCCTTTTTTTGACAAGTTTTTTTTGGAATTTGCAACACCTTTTTTAATAGAATTTTGTTCTGAATTGTGAAATCTGAAAATTCATGCATTACTGGATAATATCCTTGATTTTCTTGATTTTTGATTTCAAATGGACAATAAAAAGCTGTATTCAAAATTTCAAATTCCAGCAAATTGACTTTAAAATCTCTTAGAATTGCTGAAACATTGTCAAGTGGTATTTTATTAATGATTGATTCATTCTGATCTGTATGAGTTAAACATTGCTCTCCCAGTATACAATCTATGCTTCTTGACATCAATGCAAAATTTTGCAATTCTTTTAAAACTGTTTTTGATTGTGATAACATTTTGATCTGTGAAAACATTGTTCTCAACAACTTTATCCTTTGATTTAGAACTTTCTATCTGGTATACATTTTGTACACCTTTTTCTCCACTTCTTGTCCAGGTTGTACCTGGACAAGAAGTGGAGAAGTATTCGCTAGTTTTACCACTCTCTCCACCCCCCCTCTTTGTCTAGCAACAGCTTTGCGTATTACAGATCCACGTATGTTAGTCCAATATGTTCAAATTTTTAAAACATTTTGTTCTAGATATTTTTCTAAAGTAAAGATATGTAAATATTTATGGACTAAAGATATGTAAATATTTATAGAGTAAGATATGTATATATTTTCTAGAGTAAAGATTTATAAATATTTATGGAGCTATATAGTAATTGTTAAAAGTTCATTAAAGTCCTTTAGCCCTTATATCAATGTTACGTATAGTTGTAAGTAAATAGAAATTTAAATATTAAAAAAAAATCAAAAGAGAGAACAATCAAAAAATAATATTTTAAGAAAAAACTAACCGTGAAGGTATACAAAGCAAGTATTATATATTATATGTTTTCAATTTTTTTGTTGTTGTTGTTGTTCTAAACTTTATTCTTCTTTCATAGAGCTAATTGGTTCTTGCATTGCCTTGGCATTAATTGCATTTATGTATGAAGGGTTAAAAGTTTTAAGAGAAGTAATCAAATACAACTACAGTGGCTTTAATAATCAATAGTAAGTTTATGTAATTTAACTTTAAATTTCTAAACTAATGCAAATAAACAACACTAATAATGACTGTTTAGGAATTTCAGGAAAGAGTTTTTGAGGCAATTTTAATATTGTTAATTTAAGCATAAGCATATTTGGTATAATGTATGAAAAAATTGATTGATAATTTGAGCTCTGATTTAAATATAACTTCACTTTTTCTTTGCTAGATTCTCATATATATAATAAAATGTTTGTTTTTAAGTAGCGCCCTGATCTTGTTTTGTATAAATAAGTACAGGATAAATGTGTATTGTTTTGATTCCAATGGCAACTTTAGATTTTATATAACAAATTTGAATTTTTTTGCAACATCATATCCATAACAATTTTTTGTTTGGGGTAATTATCAGGGGTGTAGAGTCCTAAAAAATAAGTAACAACTCCGACTCCGATTCCAGTTAATGAAATTTTTTGAATATAACTCCGACTCCAGTTGTTGAAATTTTTTGAGCACAACTCAGAATCCAACTCCAAAGCAAAAATTTTGAAAAATTCTTTAAAATCTTAAAAAAATATTACGCAATAAGTTAAAAAAAAATTTTTTGACAAATTTATGAAACGTTCTTTGAGGTTTAGCATGAACATAAGGTTAAACGAATGTTTTGTACATGCACGTGCAATACCAAGAAGTTTTATTATTGGAGTCAGAGTCGCGACTTGTCGTGTGGAGTTGATTTTGTTTAGCGTCTCTGATTCCGCTAAAAATGTCGCAACTCCGACTCCACAGCCCTGGTAATTATAATTGAAATTTATTTAAATTTTTTATAATAAAGAAGTGTGATGTTGTATTAGAATTTTTTAAAAAGTTTTTTTATGTATTCATCTACTGTAGATGATAACTTAAAGGCTCGTCTATATCTGTTTTGTTTGTAAGTTTTTTTTTCCAACCTGAATATCCCCATCTTAAAATATTTCTTTTAGAAAAACTTCTGTGATTGTGTTCTTTTGTGTCGACTAGTCTATTTTTGGTAGGTGGTTTAAAAATTTAAAAAGTATATTTAGTTAAATGATAAATATTTCTTTAAATAAATGATCAGTACTTTTCTCATCAAGATTTATTAAGGAATTGGCGTAGTGAGTGTGATATTGGGAATTTATCAAAATATTTCCTAATCCTTACTGAGATTAAAATGTGCTTCGGGAATGCGTAGGGTCCTTTTTCTTATATTCTTTCCTTTTCTACTCCACTACAGCGCTTCAGACATTGATTGGACAGCGTTAAAAATATCTTCTGCAACATTTATTGAAGATGAATATGAAATCAACACAAAATTAAAATGGTTTCACAACAGCGCAGTAAACTAAACTCCGATTTCCAAGAATTATATATTTTTATATTATTTTAATCTTATTAACCTTATGTTCATAAACCTCAAAGAGGTTTATGAACATAAGGTTTGGAACATAAGGTTGCTTTGGAGTCGGAGTTGTACTGAAAAAATTTCAACAGCTGGAGTCGGAGTCGATACTTTTTTTTTACGACTCCACACCCCTGGTATCAACAAAAATAGCAGACCGAAGGTTTTTTAACTTTATTTTCATAAAATCATGATTGCTTGTCCAAATAATATGAGATTTTAAATAAATACGTTGTTTATGTGAAATGAGCATCATAGTTTAATAATATGATCTGTTCTAATCATTTATAATCAACACTTTCTCGAGCAAGGATCTATAGTAAGTTAAGGCACTTTTTGCAAAACTTTTTCATTATATGTAAGTTAACGCTGTTGAGCAGAATTGATCTAAAGACTCAAAAATGAAGTTCTTTAGATTTGCAAAAGGAATAATCAGTAAGTTTTGAAAATTATATAATAAAGCCATTTTTTTTTTACTCAAAGTTTCTTTAAACATTCATTCTCGTTCATCAAAGTTTCTTCAAACATTTTAAAAACTTAAAGCAAAAAAAGTTATAATATCTAAAGCTCTTGTTTGGACATAATACGCTGACAAAATCATGCTAATTCCAAACCACTGAGTTGGAATTAACATGATTTTGATGAAAAAAGATTTTGAACGTTTTGAATGTATTGGACATCTTTTGAACGTTCCAAAGACATCTTTTTTAAGTGTTATGCCCACTAGTAAATAAAAGAATTCAAATTATTTATAAATTGCCTTAACTACATTTTCTACATTATCTATTTCTTTAAATGTTTCAAAAAAATTTTGAATTACTTAAAGAAATAGCATATGCAGGTGTTAAATCAAACAAATTTGTTAGTTTTTTTAGATTGTACTTTTTTCTTGTTAACTTTTTTATATAATATTTGCTGATGTTGGATGACATTGCAAAGAATTTGCAAACATTGAGAAGTGAATTTTACAAGCAAGTTGCTGAGAAAATCCCTGAAGTCACTGGGAAAATTCAAATTTTTAAGAAGTTTTTTCCAAGAGACATTTTCACAGTTATGCAATTGCGTAGTTATACCAATAACGGCGGTTTTATTTAAAGTTTCATACAACTTAAATTTCTAACTATATTCTTAAACTTAAAAAATTAAACTTAAACTTAAAAAATTAAACTTAAAAAAAAATTAAATAAAAATTAAATCAACAATTAGCAAAACAATTAGCCATTAAGCAAACTTTAGCAAAAAAGCATTAAAAGTAAACAAGCTCTATTATCATTATTGTTTTTATTATTATTTTTATTATTATTATTAAACAAGCAAGCTTTAAAATTGGTCGTTAACATTATATTTAAAAAAAAATCCTTATTTATCAGCTTGTACCAATTGGGATCAGCAACTTTTGATAATTAAAAGTAGGGCACCCCTACTTTTAATTATCAAAAGTTTAAAAAAAAGTCAAAAAACTAATCTCTAAGTTTTTAATCAAAACACCCTTTAAGATAAGTGCTTTAATTAAAAAAAAAAAAATTGCAAAAATATGATACCTTGGTTCCCTTGATTTTCTTTGTGATAGCCCTTAGGTAGAAATCTTTTGTAAACATATAATATATTTATTTATTTCAATATAACATATTTATTTATATATATCCTTTATATAGGAATGGTTAAGCGCTAAATCTACCAATAAAGTTTAAAAAAAAATTAGTTTTATATTAAAAAATGATTCATATAATGTTTCTTTGCAAACACCAACATATTATACTTAAAATTTTTAAATGCACTGAACTGCAATTACTTTTAATTTTTTTGCTTTTAGTGGCATTTGTTAAGAGCTTTTTGTGTCAAATTATCTCATTTTAACATATTGTTTGTATCATCCATTCTGCAGCCGTTTTTCAAAACGCTTTAAGAAAAATAAAATCAGTTTTGATTTTTTTACAAAAAAGCTAGTTTAGATGCCTAAAAACATTATTGAATAGATATTTTCAAAGAGTTCTAAAAAAATTCATAAAAATTATTCGTTTCAAAAAATGTTCTACAAAGAGTTTCTCTTTACAATATTTTTTAATTGTGTTTTTCTTGAAATACGTAATAAGCATATTAAAGCATTTTGAAAAAACAGTTGCAGCAGATATAGGAATCAAAACTTGGTTTACTTATTCAGAAGCTCGGGGCTTTATCCACTCGGCCACATTGGCGCATACTCAAGCAAATGTTTTTAAAACAATATAACAATTTTTTTTAAGGGAAAAAATGTTTTAGCTCAAAATTAAGGAAAGCTTGACGTAATGCAATTTTCAAGTGAAAATCAAACAGTAAAACTTTCAGTATGTTTTAGTATTACTTAATTTAAAGTTTACGTGCGTTAGATTTAGGGATACGCGTTTGTTCACGTTTTCTTATAAAACAAAGCTGCGATTTTTTCTCACCACTACCTCGCTTGCAATGGCTGCCAAGGGTACTGTGTCAAACAGGCTCAAAAGCGCATTACTACTAACACTAAGTTCAGTATTATTAATTAGATAAAAAATGTTATTGTTTTTTTTTTACTTTTTTTGAAATAATTTTTATTTATTGGAAAATTTTCAAATTGTTTAGGCGATATTGATTATTATAAAATTATTTATTTTTATTTTTAAATATAAAAAGGTAGTATGTAAATATGGTCTGTGTATTACACAACCTTATAACTAAGTATAGCTGCAATATTTTCTGTTAGTGGAATGGAAAATATAACTTGTTTTGTTAATTGTCTTGTAGCTTCCTTTAAGTTTGTGTAGCTTTTTAAATCTTTCTTGTCTTAAAATGTCTAGTAAACAGAATTTAGGATGAAAAAGAAAATCCAAGTTTTGAGGAAATCGATTTACGAAGATAAAGAAGATGTCAGAAACTTTTAAATCTTCTTCACTACGTAATCACAAAATTTCAAATGTTTTAACGAAGGTTCCAAAAAAAATTATGATAATTATTTTTTGATTTTTAAAGATCTGCTAAATAGCTTTACTTGCTCTGAATGTAATGCAAAACAAAAACTGAGCTTATCTGACTCAATCTAAGAATAGGTTTTGCTAATAAACTTGTATGCTTTTCCTGTGATTAGAGTATTTTGGACATTTTTATCCTTGAAATGCAATGTTGATGCTTGTAATAATTTGGATCGAATTACAAAATCCTTTCTTTTTCACCTAACGTCAAATAGCCTGCTGCTGGGGGCTTCAGTACATACATCGACTGACAAATAGTGTTACTCACAGTGGAGTGCTGCTACATCAACTGAGGGTTTGGTATGGGTCAGCAACCTTTTCATTCATTATTCTTCGTTTTCCCTCATCGTTTTTTAAAATATACAATGTTTGATAACAGTGTAACTTTCGGTTGTAAACCATTTTAATGAAATTCGGTTCTAAAATCATTAATGACTTTCGATCGAAAATTCGATTGAAATTTTTTCGGTGCTAATTTTTTTCGTAAATATTTTCGGTTGTGTAATAAATTTTTCATATTCGGTTCTAAATTGAAATTAGGGATTCGGTTGAATCATAGGACGCCATATATATATATATATATATATATATATATATATATATATATATATATATAAAGAGAGAGAGAGAGAGAGAGAGAGAGAGAGAGAGAGAGAAGAGAGGAAGAAAGGATTCTGTTACCTAATGGTTATATTGCTATAAACTATAACAAGTGTATTGATGTTCATGTTATGACAAAGTTTTGTAGAAGGTTTCGAATTTGGTATTAAAAAAAAGGTCTGGAAAACACTAAATTAGCTTTCAATGCATAACAGTCTAATTAACCATCAAAATTTACATGATGCATTAGATTTGACTAGGGCAGTGGAGATTTTTCAGGCGTCACTTTTAAAAACAACCTTATTTATAAAGAGTATCTTGTAACAGGGACACATCATCGTACAAAGATGATTTTGATGCTAATGTTTATAAACATAGTGTTCACCCTATTAAATTAGAACGGTATGGGCTCTTTCTAGAAAAATGTTGAAATAGAATGTGAAAATAGGTCATGTTAAGTTAACAAACAAAACAATAAACTCAATGAAAAATTTCTATGATCTTTCTATGGCCATCAGACAGAATTTCAAGAACTTGTACATTATGAAAAAGATGTCTTAGCAATAAAAGTGATGAAGTTCGCCATCAGTATTCCACCTGCATCTTCTAGTTAATATCTAGTAAATATAAAAAAGATTTTGCTACTGGCACTAATAGATGTAAAAAAGATATAAATTTATTATCATGGATTTTTTAAATTTTGTTGCTGACATTTATAGAATTCAGAAGTGATGATTTATTATCAAAATGCCTTCACAGAAAAACCCAATATGTCAACGGAGGCTTCAACAATATTGTATTTTCACGCTGTCTGAAAGTTTTTTGTTAAAAAATATGTTAGAGATTGGTGTGAAATCTGCCATAATATATTTTAATGATAGAGCGAATGTTGTAAACAATATAGTGATAGAGTTTACAATTAATGGGGAACGATTTATAAAAAGAAGATATATTACTTAACGAGTCAAGTATTCGATGGTCTCTATATAAGAGTAAACACAAAACTACAAATTAAGTCTTCTGTCAACCGTTTCCATGCCCTTTATCTCTTTTTTTTGTTGCTGGTGATTTTTAAAATAATGTAATATTTAAAGTTGTTTTCATAACTTTAATTATGCACTTTTTTTGATTATATGATAAAATGTTATGCTTGTGTAATGATGAATGTATTATTCTACTTTTAGACTTTTTTTTTTTTTTTTTTTGAACTTGTTTGATTAAATTTTTTTCTTGATTGATCTTTTGTTTATTAGTAGTATTATGTTTTCATGGTTACATATCCTGCAAACAGTGTTACATATGGTTGTCGTTTTTATTGGATATTTTCTTATGCTTGCTTTTATGACTTACAATACCTGGATATGTTTAGCTGTAATTATTGGTGCTGGAGTTGGATATTTTGCATTTGGATGGAAAATTAACTCAATACCTAGCACTGGTGACCATTGTAACTAAGGAATGTTTATAAATTTTTATAATAAATTTGAAAGAAGTTTTATAAACAACTAATTATATAAAAAGTATATAAATTATATAATGTATTATTTTTTTTCTGTGTGTGCATATATATATATATATATATATATATATACATATATACACACACACACACATATATATATATATATATATATATATTAAAGTGGTAGGCACTAGTATTGTAAATACAAAATTGTTAAAATTTTTTTTTGTAGCTACCAGTATAAAGTTCTACATTTTTTGCAATTTGGATTTTGAAATGCCTTCAAGTTATTCTTTTTTTTTTTAAATAAACATTTATGATTTTTTTATGGATGGATTAATATAACTTTTCTAAAAATACACGTTGCTATTTTTTTGTATGGAAATAATTATAATATACTTTAACAGTAACTATGTATACTGTACTCTTGAGTTCCTAATAAACGCCCCCCTCCCCCCGTTTAATAATTTTTGAATACTTTTCCCACCCACCCTAAGCTTATTAAAATTTTTAAAATATGACTAGGATAATCTATGGTTATACATCAGTTGGCTGCTTAAACCAAAAAAAAAATTATTTTTAATAATTTCTTTCAATAATTTTAACTAAATATTTATCAGGTAAAAAGATATACCAGAAACATTTTATATGCTACTGTGAGTTAAAATTAATGTCAGCTTGCTGTATCTTAGTAAAAGGTGTGCCAGCAAGTGACATAAAAGGTGAAACGCAGCAACATCTATCAACTACTGAATCTGACGACTTATCCTTTGACTTACACATAGTTGATTTTTTTTCATTATTTACTAGAGGATGTTTTTCTTTTAAATTTTCATACAAAAGGAAATCACGTTTCTTAAGTTATTCGGCAGTATGCTTGATTTTAGTATTATGATAACATAAAATTAATAGCTAATATAAGTAAATTCATTAATGATTTATTGTAGCATAACTTTTCGATTAAGTTTCATTCAATGAAGTGATTAAAAATAATATTACCATTCATTTTTGTTCTCATTTTAGCATGAGACTCTTTCATCTCTATCTCACTTTCTGATTTACTATTGTAGTTACATACAATCATGTCTTTTTTTTTTTAAGTATATTTCGCCTTTTACTATAAATACAGTTTTCATATATATACATAAACAATAAAATAAGTAGATGGAGCAAGAAGAGGGCATTATTGGGGTACAAAATTGTTGCGTATATTGGGAGGGGGTCAATAAAGTGTTACGGATGCGTTACGAGGGGAGGGGATAGAGGGAGTCACAAAATATCAAAAACTGTGTGACTAAATTTATGGACGACCCCTAAAGTTAATAATTGTTTAACTAGGATATACAACTAATTGAAAATAACATGTTATTTTTCAATTTTTTTTTATAGTACTTTGTATAAAATGTAAACATTGTTCGTTTTAAATTTTGTCTTAAAATTCTTTTTAAAATTTTCTCTAAAAAAAGGTTAAAAACTGAGGAACGCTTTGAATATCTTTGTAAGGTAACTTCACTTAAAACATTATTGAAAATTATAAGGAAACAATTTTATAAAACAGGCGCTAATAATTTTCTAAACTAAAAAATTAAATTGTACTTTATGTGGAATAAAATACTTTTTAATGATTAAATAAATTTTTCAACTCAGTAACGTATATGATTTAAAATGTAGCAAAGTAAAGGGTGTCCAAAAATTAAAGCAAGACTTAAATTAAATAGAAAACATAGTTTTTAGTTTTTTGATTTCATCATTTTTTTTTTTTTTTTATTGAATCGTTAAGTAGGGGAGAGTGTGTATGAAAGAGCCAGTTTTAAAAAGGTACGAAAAAAGTCAGTTTTGATTGATTAAAAAAAAAAAAAATTTAATTTAAATAGGTACTTTATTGGGTAATAATATAAAAATAAAATAATTTGGTTTAATGCTAAAAATCTGTCAAACATCTACTTTAAAAAAAGAGAGAAATCGGCTCTTTCATAACATCTTGCCAATCAGACGCGGATACACGAGTACGCTAATGAAGCTGAAGCTTCAGGGCCCGACAAAAAGAGGGCCCCAAACACTTTCAGTTTTATATCAAATATAATTCTAAAAAATTTAAAAAAAATTACAGAAATTGAAAATAAGAAAAAAAATGTTTTTTTATTTATTTTCTGATTGTACTAGATTTTTTTATTCCCTTCGTGCGATTTGACACGGAGATTTTTAGAGACTTATTAAAATTATAGATTTCTATATGCGCGAAAATATCAACAGTAAAGACTTTGGTTGGTTTGGTTTGTTATGGAAATGGATAAAAAAAGACTTTTCTTAGATAAAGAAAGCCTTTTAATATTTAGTTACCTTAGTATTTAAATGTTTACATTTATATTTTGAAATAATAAATTTTTTTAATAGTAGTTAAAATTTATTTATTGAACTAATTTCAGAATTTGATCCGTTTTTACGCGAACATCTTACAAAATGTCAATCTGAAAAAAGAAACATTTTATATTTATCTAAAAGTGTGTATGAGGAAATAATAGAAATAATAGGAAAACGAGTCCAAAAAGAAATGGTAGCTCAAATTAATAACAGTAACACAAAGCATTTCTTAACTATTATCGACTTAACTCTAGATTTATCACACGTCGACCAATCAGCTGCAAGATTTGTAAGATATATTTATAATGGACAGACAGACATATAAAAGATTTTCAACTTTTATACCTATTACAAATCATACAGCTCAGTCATTATTTAATACAATCAAATTTTTTTTGACAAACATTAGTCTTCCGATAGAAAACATTCGTGGACAGTCTCACGATAACAGACCAAATATGAGCGGAAAATATAGCGGACTACAAGCACGTTTGAAGAAGATAAACAAATATGCTGATTTTGTACCTTGTGCAGCACATTCTCTAAATTTGGTAGGGGTAGAAGCAGTTAGTATAGTAACATTAATTATTAATTATTTTGGGATTTTGCAACGATTATACGTATTTTTTTCTGCATCGCCACACAGGTGGGACATTTTAAAGAAATATGCTAATTTACAATTTTCTTTAAAAAGTTTAAGTATTACAAAATGGTCAATGCATCATGATTTAGTTAAAGCATTAAAAAATGGCTACAGTGATATTTTGAAAACTCTTAATTATATTTATGAAGAAAGCGAAGATAAGCTTGATTGTAAAAGAGAGGCAAATATTTTATTTAAGAAACTAATAAAGCTTGAAAATTCAATTTTGACAATAATTTGAGAGGAGGTTTTTGAACGTTTTAATAAAGTCAGCAAAATTTTACAAACCCCCGGGCTCGATATTTCTGAAGGCTATGAATTAATTTTCTCTTTAGAATTATTTGTAAAAAAAAATGCGAAAAAATTCAGAAGAAAAATGAACGAGTTCGAAAAAAAAGCTAAAAATTTTAATGAAAAAATTACAGGAAATTATAATGATTTAAGCAAGAGGGGAAAGACATTTTTAATGGCAAGGACAAGTTTCAGGTAGAGGTGTACTATGTCCTTTTTGATTCTTTAGCAAACGATTTATCGAAAAGAGGAAGAGTATACAAAGAAATAAATAAGAAATTTAAATTTCTTTTGAATATAGGAAAAAAAGATCATTCTCATATAGACATGGAAAGCATTAATTATGTCATTTCATTTTACAATAATGACATAGATGCTGGACTAATAAATGAATGTACACAATTTAGGGAATATCTTCAAATTACAAATAAAGAAAAAAAAAATGTTCCAGTATGCTTAAATTAATATACGAGAGAAATTTGATAGATGTTTTTTAAAATTTATATACGGCATTAAAGATATTTCTAACTTTACCAATAACCAGTTGTGAGACCGAAAGAGCATTTTCAAAATTAACATTTATTAAAAATAAATTTCGCACCACAATGCTGGAAGTAAGACTTAATTTTATTTCAATTTTGTCAATTGAAAATGACTTAACAAAATCAGTATCTTATGATGAAGTAATAAGGGAATTTGCAAATAGAAAATGCCGCAAAAAAAAAATTTTAATTTTATTATGTTTATTGTTATTTTTATTTTTATGAATTAAAATGAATTTATAGTTTTTCCAAAAGTTTATTTTTTTTTTTCATTACGTTTTATTTATATTTTGGTAATAAGATTTTGGGGCCCAAAAATTCACTTAGCTTCAGCCCCCACCAAAGGTTAATCCGCGTCTGTTGTCAATGAAAGAGCCACTCTGTGCTATGAATGAGCCGTAATGTATTTTCTAAAATTAACAAGTCTTTTAATAGTAATAATTTGTTAACTAGACTTCTAAAAATAATTTTTTTATAAAACTAAAGAGCAATAATTTATTAACTCGACTTCTAAAAATCAGATTGTACGTTATATAATCATAATCACATTATAAAATCAGATTCTAAATTATATAATTCTATGATAATCAATGATAAAACAGCTTTAATAATAGTTTCACTTTATTATTAAAAAAATATCCTTGTATAACGTCAACGTCGCTTTTCGTAGATAATACTTGTGAATGATTTCAAATTTTTTAATAATTTTTTTTAACGCACAGCTTCTACGCGTAAAATGCGCGCTTACGCGTGTTAAAGATAATACAAGACTATACAAGACAAACACATAATTTTGATATATTACTCTACTTGATATTTTTATAAAAATGGTTTTTAAAGGATGTTGATGCATAGAGAAAAAATACTGTATTTTTTTACATTAAATTTATTATTTACATTACAATTAATTTAAAAACTTTATCTGGTAACGGTTTTCCTCGATAGCTCTTATGTTTTCTAAAAGATATGCTTGATATTTTTGGATCTAATCTTATTAGAAGGTAGTGCATCTGATTCATCATTGTGTTTAACCTTGATATTTTTGCCGTGTGCTTAAGTCTAGAATTTCTTATCTGTTTATTTAAACTCTCTAGTGCATCTTCCGAATATACCCCGATTGGCAAAGGTAATTTATTTGATATAGAAGAACTATGCAGTAGCAGTTTATGTACAGTAGGAGGCATAACATACCAGTTGTATAAACTCACTATACGTTTACCTGTTTTAGTGCAGTATAAATCTAATTCATTGATATTAATAGGATATCCACAAGATATGGTTATGAGAATATTATGCAATCTTTTAATTATATCACAATCAACTTTAGTAATTTAAGTAAAAACTTCACTATTTTTAAATGCTCTTCTGGCAGTGTTGCCGTCATTCGTGTTTCCAGACCCAGTTTTAGGCATATCAAAGTATAGGCTTAACCGTTCTCTGAAGAGTACCTGAATTCTCTTTTTTTTTTAAGTCTACAGATTTTTCCTCAGTTGTTTTTGGCTTAAACTTTTTAATTTCAATTTTATAACTCAAATGAAGAATGAACTCTAAGCATTTTATCCAGCAATGCAAAGATGAAATTCCGAGCCCCAAGGCCGAGTCATTCTCAGTTTATGCTTTTAATAAATCAATATTGTTCATTTTTCTTGGGTTTAGCATTGCACACATTGCAGGATTGAGTGGATTTTGTCTCTGTAAGTGCGCTAACTACTTTATTATCAAACATTATAAGATCAATCCTATAGCTGATATTAAATGTCAAAATTCTTCCTACAATATTAAAAACTTTGCAAAAAGTCTTTAAGGTATTTATTTGATTTTTTATATCTGATTCTTCTCTGGATAAAATTGGACTCTCTTTTTTATATTGTAGATGAAGAGGTTTACAAAAGTGACAGCTTGAAGGATTTTCATTTTTCCAAATTTCGCCATCTTCTACTTTGAGCAATAAAGACACAAAAGCTGTACTGAAAAGATTTTCTTCATGCTTAAGTTCTATACTTGCGTTGCTTGTATCGTGTTTCTGTTTATAAATACTTTGGCTTGATGCTCCACCAAAACCAATCTTTCCATATAAAACTCCAAATATTTTATCACTTTGACCAAAATTAGGCCTATCAATCATTTCTGTTACTCTACTCATAGTGTGATCATTTGATATTGTTTATCGCTGAGATCAGTATTCATTTTTAATGCAAGAGCATCCTCTACACTCATGTTAATGGAAAAAGTTTTATCAAAAGTTTTATCAACTTTTTCTATCTCTAAAACATTAGATATATAGTTTTTTAAAACAGAGGCTTTTTTTTTTTCTCCAGCAGCATTTGCACTTTTTGCAGAAGCTAAAAATAGAGCTTCCTGATGTTCAGTGGCTAGTTCTTTTATTTTTTTCTTTTGCTTCTCTCTCCAAGAACACTCCATTGTTTATGGGGCCTTCCAGAACCAAAATGGCTATTTTTATTGTTCATAAGATTTCTTTGAAGCCAACGATTTTCTTTTTGTATAAATGTATCATAGTTTCGTCCGATTATTTTAGTTTTTTCTTCACCTTTTAAATAAATATAACTAAAGCAAGCTTAACTTTATTTAAGTTTTTTTTGCGAATTTTTTCAGTATTTTTTATTTTATTAATTAAATCCTTCCATAATTTTAATTTATCAACTCATAATTCTCGTATATTTGGGATAAGATCTAATCTTTTCATTGTTATCGTTTTTAAGAACCATCAATATAATAAAACTAATATATTAGACACATTTTCAATTACATTACATATTTTTTTATTTTACACTGTTTCAAATTTTATCTTGTTATGACTTTTAACAATTTTCACATTGTTACATCCTGTAATAACACATATTACTCAGTTAACTTTATATTCCATGTAATATAAAGTTAATATTTGGTATTTCTTGAAACGGGAAATACCAAAGTTGTTCAATTAAGCTTTTTCAAACATGTTGTACTTATCGAATAATAAATCGTTCTTTAAAATTGTCATTAAATATTTTACCAAACTTTTAAATAGTATATAATGACAAAAGCACGTTTTTTAAAGCTATATTTAATATTTATGATTTAAAAACTATATTAGAACAAGTTCTACAAGGAAGAAACTTAACTTTAAGTTACCCGCCAATTTCATTTGTTTTGATATAATAAAGTTCTTAGCAAAATGGCGGAAAACAAGGTTTTTATAAAATCATCAACGTTTATTTTTCTTTAATAACTTCCAATACCGAAGGAGACCGCAGTAATCCTTTTACATTCCTAAAGTAGAAATGTTAATTAACTGGAAAATATATATATATATATATATATATATATATATATATATATATATATATATATATATATATATATATATATATATTTGTGGAACTCGGTGGAACATTTTTTTAGCTGATATATAAACAAAAAAAATACAATTATTTTCTACTTTTTTTTTAGAGGTCTTTAAATTTAAACGAAAAAATCAGACTTTTTTTTTTCTTTTTAGTATATTTGAAATATATGGAGTCAAAATATTATTTAAAAAAAAAAAATACACTTTTATTTAAATTTCAAGCTCTCTAATTTGAATTTGGTTGAATAAAAACCTCACATTTTTCAGATTTCTTTAAAAATAATATCAAATTTTTTTACTTCTTTTACCTAAAAATACAAAATAAAAGCTTTAAGAAAAAATTATTTTTACTTTTGAAATAAAAAATCATTTTCTTTTAATATTATCTAACAAAAGGCACTTAATTTATAAAAAGTGGTGACGGGTTTATTCCCATTTTGTTGTTGTTTTGAGTCACTGTGCAACGTTTTACGACTTCAGGAAAAGTCATTCAAACAATTAATTTCAATAGAATATGATCAATGAAGCATTACGAAAAACAATGAAGTCATTAAAGCGCGAAACAGCTATTTAGTTTTGAAAAAAGCTAATTCGAAAAGGCCGGCTTTTTCATAGCATAAAAAATGTGGCTCTTTCAAAAAATTGTATGGTAAAAAAAATAACCTGAAAATATACATTTTTTATCGAAACTTTAATATTATTTGTGGAAAAGAAGGACACATATATATATAACAATTGAGCATATATGTTTTAACAAATAATACAATACTCTTTATCTTAAAAATAAATAAGTAAACCCCCAAAAAATTAAATTTTATTTTCAAAGTTTTGAGTGCACCCTTGAGACGTTATTTATTTTAGTAGAACTCTAAATTTTTTGTGGGTGACAGGTATCCAGCGTTGCCACAAAAAATGTAAAATACAATTATGGTTGGGTGCCAGTAAGTTAGATATAATGGCATCGGCTCTTTCAAAACCTGGCTCTTTCATACACACTTTCTCCTACATAGGATAGGGTTATTTATAAAATAACACATCGGAAAACAGCGTCCACGGCTTTCCATAAACATAACCACTCGTTTGTCGAAATTTTCCACGACTTTTTTGCATAAATGCGGCTGAATTTCATTAATGCAACGTTGAATCTCTTCCTTTAAAGCACGTGTGGTTGTGTGGGATTGTTGACATACACCTATGGTTTTATATGAGCCCATAAAAAGAAATCTAATGGTGTTAGTTTGCACGATCTAGGACCATTTCTGATCACTGAGAGAGTATACGACCTGAAAATGTCTCATGCAGCAATTGAAGTGTTTCATGGGCTGTATGGTATGTGGCGCTGTCTTGTTGAAACCACATACTTGCCACATCAACATTATCTAATGTCGGTAAAATGAACTGAGTTATCATGTTGCGATATCGAGCACCAGTAACAGTCTCTGCTTAAACACCCTCTTTTTAAAAAGAAGTATGGTCAAATTATGCCTCCAGCCTAAAATCCACATCACGTTATAAATGCATTTGTTTTTCGACAATGATGCGTGTGTTCCCAAAAGCGGCAATATTTGCTATTAATA